CATTTTTCACATAAGTTTGGACAATTTTTGCATCATGTTGAGCAGATTTTTGTAATTTTAGACATTTCAGATAATTTTTTTGAATATTTTTGATGTTGTTTTGTGTAAATGTGAACAAATTTTAAATCACTTTCTCATCCAAAGTTGGACAACTTGGAGTCATATCAGGTGTTTTTCTCTCATTTTTTAGGGGACATTGGTATTTTTTTTTCTGATCTGGACTAATTTTAATTAATTTGGAATTTTTTTCGCATAACTTTGGACAGTTTTTTGAGTCATTTGGGATAAATTTTAAGTCATTTTTGTGGCTGTTTGAGTTTTTAAAAACAATTCTGACATGTTACTCATTTGGATGATTTTCAAATTATTTTGGATAAATTTAGAATTTTTTTGGTCATTATTTTGGTCAGTTTTTGTTTCTTTTGGACAACTGTGACTCATAATGAATAATTTTTGAACAGATTTCTGAGTCATTTGGTAAAAATCTGTCTCATTTTCAGAGATTATTAGATATTCTGGACAATGTTCTAATTATTTCTGACACATTTTTGGTGTTTTTTGGACAGTTTGAACGACTTTCTTGTCTGTGAGCGGCTCAGACGGCGGATGTTATCGCTTCGGAGCTCTGATCCATCAGAAAAATGTCTGTTCCTGGCGCCTAATTTCGGCTTTTTTTTCCTTTCAGTCCAAGTGAAATTTTTTTAAAAGATTGATGTCTAAACCATCTCTTATCTGGTTCTCCATCCCTCTGAGCAGCCGGTGTTTCTCGGAGCTGAATCGCTTTCAGAGAACTTGTGTTTTTTTTCTTCTTTTGGACCTTTTTCATGTGAAAATGTGTGAAAAGTGTTGATTTGTACGGAGGCAGCCGGCGGCTTTGAAGCTGTTTATTGCCTCGTGTTGCCTGATAATCTCACAGATAAAAGTATTGATCCGTCTTTTAAGGCTGACACGTGCCGGCAGGGGGCATTGGGCTTAATTAGGATTTTAGTTGCTTCAAAGTTTCTGCCTCATTTTGAATGTGTTAACCTCATGTTTGTGCTCTAATATCTAAAAAAGAGCTGATATTATTACAGCATCGTCTCCGAGGACGGAACCAGTGGGATGTTGAGGTTAGAAAAATATAACGAAATGGGATTTTTTTAATTTATTTTTTTTGCAAAAGCTGACAGTTCGGCTCAGCTTCAGTGATGGAAGTGAAACTGCAGCTGCCACAATAATAATCACAATAATCTATGCAATGAATTCACGTTTCAGAGGCGTTAATGATCAGCCTCATCCTCCGTGTTCACAGTCTGCAGAGGAAACAGGTGACTCCAGATGCTTTCAGGGTTAATTCTCACTCCTCACTTCTCCCAAACTTGGGCAGAACCGCCTCCTGATCCGCAGCACTCCCAGTAAACAGATTTATTTTCCTTCAGATTCTCTCTTTCTCTTTATAGAGTCGAGTCTTTCTTCTGTCTGCCTCCTTTCTCTCTCATCTCGACTTTATTTAGGATTTTCTATATTTACCAGCTCCTGACTGGAAAACTGTTTACTTCAGAGTCCTCAAGAGGAGTTTTCCTACTTTAATGTGATTTTTTTTTCCTCTCTCTCTCTCGTGTTTTTATGAGAGCTTTCATGACTCCGACGTGCTGCAGAACCGAATCGCTCTGACCGCTCGCTTCAATCCACAGCGAGGATGAGACGCCGGCGCCGCTTCTTAGATTAAATTCCTCGATCACATTTACAAGATGAAAGTTGAAGGAAAGATGTCGTCCTCTGTCTTCTCCTGGAAACTGCATAAACAGAAAGTGAAAACACCTTTTCCACAGACTTTCAGTCATTTTTAGGCCCGTTTGGACCAAATAGGAGCCATTTCTGACACATTTGGGGCGATTTTTATCCTGTTTTGAACTGATTTTAAGTCCTTTAGGTCAAGTTTT